GCAGCTCACTAGGGAAAGGAGTTTGTAAACTGCTCTGAGACTCCAAGTGAACGGCAGGGTATAAATCCAATCTCTTCTTCTTCTCACTACAAGGGCTCTTATGTTGTTATGCCCAATGAGTGAGTGGGAGCTGGGTGCTGGGTAACATATGTATGAAATGATACTTTTGTTGGTGCTATGGCTGTCCATTATCAATTCACCATCTTTTTAAACATACTTCAAATATCAATTTTTTATTTCACAAAGCCAAAATGATCATAGGGCGCTCTGTTCAAGATCAATTTCACACATGTCTTCATTAAGCTCATGCCAATATTACACATTCACAGGATTATAATTAACTGTTGGATCAGATCTCCTCACAGCTACAAGCTGGCAATAAGAGCAGTCCTAAACAAGTCTAAGAATCCTGCTCAAATGTACTCAGTGGGGGTTACTCTCAGGAAAGCACCCTCAGGATATTACTGTAATTTTGTTTTTGGACTCTAGAACTTTTGCTTGTTACTGTAGAACATCCGCTTGAATGCACTGGCTCCCCTGTTAAATGCGTTTGTGTTCAGCATGACAATGAAGATGTATCTATTGTAGTGCTAAATAGTATGCTCTAAAGCTGTGATTTTCATTGTTCCCCAAGGTCTACTGATACTGCAATCAACCATTCAGTTGAGAAAGAAAGGAAAATTAACATCAGTGCCTGAGAAAACACTGTAAGATGACATTAATAAACAGTACTGTTGAACAAACTTATATTTATGTTTAAAGGCGACTATGCTTACTCAGAGCTAAAATGAATGCATATTCATGCCAGCTTATATACTCCTACATGTAGAGCACTAGGTGGGGGTTTAGACACACAGAAAAGTGATCAGATTAGTGATTCACTGCATGAGGAAAGCTCTCTGTGCATTCCTGAGGCTAATATCTCATGTCCTGAGGCCATGTGATTTGGCTCTCACTTTTATAACATATTCCAAAAATTAAACCATGACAGGCAAGTATGATGCCACCACTGGCACTGAACAGTAGGAGGTGGACTGTCATGTTCAATTTCTCACTCAGGAAGCCTTGGGCAAGTCTAACCTACTCTATAGGGGGGTTGGGTAAAGAAAACACTGCTATGAACTCTTTAGAGAAAGTGTAGGGTACACATCCATTATTTGGATCATGTGAGGAGTAAGGAATCAGTTGCATTCCAGTCCTGGGCATGTATTTGCAGAACTGATCATATGCAAACATAATAGCTATAAGCAATATTCCTTTTTACAGCATTGAAAGGAAGACAAAAATTGTTTTTGAGTGCTACACAAAATCACTGCAGGTTGTAAAGTATTTGAAGGTCAGCCAACTCTGCTACATAGTTTGCTCCAGCTGAGAGCTGTTTGGGAAGAATGGCTACCTGGCTGTGATGCTATTGCTGTCTTAAGTATGAGGTGGTATCCATCATTAGAGGAGACGGAAGAAGGATTGCTTCCTCTTTGGATATATATTTCATATGGTTAGCCTGGTTGCTCTTTAGTTAATACAGTTGTTGTAGCTTTCAGTGGCTAGGGCCCACAATCAGGTACCTGAAGCAAAACTTCAGTCAACATTCTTATTTAAGTAAAAAATAAACAAGGCAAATGACCTTGGCAAATGACAGGTAATAACACAAATCCCCCTGATTATGTTACTTTTGTATCTATAGCGGGTGAGACATGAGTAATCACTGTTTTAGCTCTCCTTAGTACAATTAAATGTAATGATAAATGTAAATGCAACAGTTGCATGCTGAAGTTTCCCATTTGGATGAACGGTTAAACAGCAGGTTGTAGGACTAACTGGAAAACTGAACAATCTTGAAGTAGGTTCACAAATCCACCTCTCCCCGTTTCTCCCCATTGATTTTTATTGGATATATAAGTAAAAATAACAAGCACAACAGAGTCATTGAAATCTGTTATTGACTCATGTTGATAGGGAAAGGGAAACCTAATTATGGAAACAGAAGTGTGATAAATCTGCCTGCAGTCAGTTCTCTCATACCCACCTATACCTTGGAGTTTACATAGTCATTCTGATAATCTTGGCAGTGCTGATTATCTCCATGTTTCAATGATGATAATTTTAGATGCTGTGAGAAGATTTGCCAGAAAGTTATTGTGTTCGACTTGACAGTGTCCTTCAGATACCTCAGAATTACAACAATAAGGTAACTGATATAGCCCAAAGTAACATGACCAGACTTTCTTCTTAGCAGAGTATATCTCCATTGGGGACATGCAGAAGTTTATTTACTAATTAAAATCCAACCCAAACAACACTGTTTTCTAAATACAGTAAACACTTGGTAGCCAAACAGTATTATTTCTGACATTTGGGAACAAACGAAAACTAATACGGCACTTATACTTGTGCGTCATTGTTTGGATTCATTATATCAAGCAACAGGAATCCAAAGGGGCATCAAGGAGAGCAACTGGCACAACCAATATGTACTTGATAGGGATGCCATCCATCCATGATAGTTATTCCACCTCCTTGCCAAACAGTATTATCCTGAGAAGCATATGCATAGTGCTTGTAGGTTCTCCCAAACAATGCTCCATCTCTCTAGCTTTGGGACAGTTTATTAATTTTATGAGTCTTGTTAGCACAAGCCATTTAGTTTTATGGGACTGTGTCTACAATGTCCTAGGCAGGGATGAATTAATGTGCATGTATAAACCGTAAGACAAGGTGGGCTGGGGGAGGGACAGAGGCTGCCTCACGTTATATTCTGAATCTTCAGTGACAGGAAGCCCATGCAGCAGGAGAAAGAGGCTAAGATTTTGCTAGGGAATGGGAATAGAGGTTTTGGCTGCAGTAACACGAGCAGTTCGCACCAATATCATTGTGGTACCTTTGTGGATTTAAAAAGCATGATCAGACAGCAACATCTGCCTTCTGTGCGCCAGTCTTCGACACCCTGTTCTGCCCCACTTTGGAAGTGGAGTAATCTGGCACCGGGGAAAGTCTGGTATTACAGGTATCAGCCCTTTCACCTTGCATTTCCAGATGTCTGAACTCCCCTGGTGTAAGCTCAACCTGAGTTGGGAAGTCTGATCACTCCATTCTGCTTTCACTCCTTGGTGGGGGGTTTTAGTCAGTTAGCGATGTGTGCATAACTGCATCTTCGAGCATACCAGCAAGCTTTCAGCTGTCCTCTGAGGCAAGAAGGGCAGGAGGGAAGGGCAGGTTGAGAAGCCTCCTTTGTCTTTTTTCATGCTGGTTCCTCTGCCTACAGCTTTGCAGCAGGGTAGGGAAGAGGTTAATTGAACAGATGGTTTTTTTTTCAGAGGGGGAGGCAGCCTCCTCCAGTTGTCAAAATGGAGCGGTGCTTTGAATAATCAGTTATGCACACGTGTAAAAGACAAGTTTTTTTTAAAAAAAGCCACTCAACCACCCACCCCATGGTTGCCCTGCAGCAATAATCTGAATGGTCAACCATGGGGTGAGCGTGCAGTGAGGCTGCTTCAGGATGTGCTGTCTGGTCACCCCTTCCCATGACTATTTTAAACTGCCACAAATAGAGGCGCCGCCAGATTGCACCACACCTACAGTGTGACCACAACCTTTGCCTCCTACCTAGAAAGAGTTCGCTAGCTTGGCTGACCACCTGCTTTGCAGACTTGTGGTTGGGGAGAACAGTAACAGTTTCTCACACACATATTAATAAAAATACAAGCGAAATTAGTGAAAACAGAGCATTTAAACACTTTTATTTATTTTTATCCCCGTTTTTCTCCCTAGTGGGGACCAAAGAAGCTTGCAAGATACAAAAATACAGTTTAAATAAACAAACAGGGAGGGAAACCCTTCAAACAAGCTGAAGTCAAAGGCAACAAGCTATGGACTGAAAGCCAAGACTCCTTTGTCTCTTGCCCTTTGGATCAAATTTCTGACCATACCAGGTTTAAATACCTCTAACAGGAATGGAAACAGAAATTCAACCAAGAGTTTAATCAGCTGGCAGACATGTACCCAAAACTTCTTTTTGAAAAATCAGTCTCCTCTTCATGGAAACAGTATTCTGTATCCTACCACTCTGCTAAGCAAAATCTGAAGCCTTCTTCCAATGTAAGGATCTTTCCTCCAGTGGAGAAGCCATTGAAGTTACCAGATAGCCAGTGCACTCTGCATTAGCTCCATTTGCTGCTGCTAATGTCATCACAAACCTAAGTAGCATTGGTTTACGAGAATGTCACTGTTTCCAACAACAGCCGATGGATCTTTTTAAAAAAACTAATCCACCTATTCCAAAAATTTCCTGCTAACGAGGCCACTGGAGAATGCCACCAAAACCATGAGGGGAAGGAGGGGAAGACCTGCACCCATGCTGCTTGCATCTGTGTGCATGTATACGGTAATTCATAGTTCTGATCCCTTTTGAGGGTACGTTTTATATTTTTTATAAGTCCCCCCCCCAAAAAAAAAAGTGTTTCCAAGTCAGCCCTTCTTATCAATATCAGGTGGGGTGTTTGGCACAGTAAATGAGGGTCACCCTTATTTTGGCTATCATCTAGAAGGACAGATGGATTTTGTGTTATTTAATCCAGCCTAGAAGTGCATGAGAAACTGTAAACTTCATAGATTTTTATATCATATTTTAACAGTTATATTTTATGTGGATTTTTATGTATTGCTCTGATTTATTTTTATCTGCTATGTATAAAATTGAATGTTAAAAATGAAAAGAGCATTTTTCTATTAAACATATTTGATAGTATATAAGTATATCCTATGTTTAATGGCTTTAAATTCAACACTGTATATTTATGTGCCTAACACTATGGTGAATGTCAGTGTATTATGACATGTTTTTCCTTTCCATTCACCTTGACTTTTAGCGGCAGAACCTTAGGCATGAACATCTTATAAAGCAGACGGCATACATTAACCTGCAGGCTACCAACTCTGATATTACCAGTGATGTAGCTTCCGATAAAAATGTATTTCAAATATCAATTGCCTCATTACCTTACCTTATCCTTTTTTTGCTTTTCATCCTGATATATGGTCCAATGCTCACCATCATTGCTATAGGCAAGTTTATAGGAGCCCACGAACTGTACATGACCAAAATCTTTCGCTCCTTGGGTAATAATGCCAGTGACTTTTGTAGGAACAAGGAGGTCAATCTATAAAAGACAAATAAACAATGTACAGTTAAAATCTTTATACTCTTAAGTTGCCTTCTTGAACAAGTCAAAGAAAAGGCAAAACTGAAAACAGTAAGAGAAAAACATTAGAATCTTGATAGTTTGGGCACACGGTTATTTTAAATCAATCAAATTAGTTTTCCAGCATTAATAAACTTAATTTTCAATACAACCAGATATGTGGATACTTACATGCAGAGACTAGAGCCATGAACAGATATTTCTTCAAACCTGAAAAATCTCCAGATTTGCAGAAAAATCTAAAATAGATTATATCAGGGATTAAAACCACCCAAAATAATAGAAGCATTCCATGTACCTTTAAGAAGCAAATGCTTTCTCAGTGGTTACTGTGGGAGTTCCTAGGCAACCACAACATTTATCAGCCTTCAAGCTTTGGTTTCTGTCAGCAAAAGGTGGTGGGATAATGCCATACAGTCCACCTTCTAAAACAACTATTTTCTCCAGGAGAAGCTGAATAATTTTTTGGCTTTTGATTAATGTTTTGGCCTTTGTGGGAGGATTCATCCTGGCCATGCCCACAAACAACCATAAGTGAGTTGCTACAATGCCGCCTGACTCACCCAAGCATGGCTGCTGAACAGCAGCCATCCCACAAAAGCCAGTGTGGTATAGTGGTTAGAGTATCAGATTAGAAACTTGGAAGCCTAAATTTAAATCACCACTGTGCCCTGGAATCTCAATGGGTTACCTAGTTACACATTCTCATCTAACTGTGAGGATAAAATGAAGGTGAGGAGAATGATGTAAGTTGCTTTGGGTCCCCTTTGTGGAGACAGGTGTGGTAGAAATGATGAGGGGGGGATGAACTAGTGAATGGAAAGGAGTGGCTAGTGGATGGAAAGGAGAAAAGGAAGCATAAAATGGGGAGGATCTGTGGAGGCTGCCAGGAGGAAATAATGGGCAAGAAAAAAATGAGATGTACCTACAAGTCCTTGAGGGTCTCCTGTTTGACCCTAACACTAACCCTATCTATACCTGAACCATACCATAGAGGATATGCTTAACAGAGGTGCAATATAAAGGTAGGGAGTGGGACTGACCAGGGGGTTTCTATACAAACCTGAAGGAAGTCCCAGGGGTGCAGAAAACAAAATAAAATTGGAGGATTTAATATCCTCTCAACAATAAAAACAACACCTGTAGCTTTAAGAATGTCCACTGAACTCTCAGTGGCTGTTGAACAACCACAACAATATGGCCAAGCCTTCCAAGTCTTGGTTTATGTAAAGCAAGGGAAGGGGGTGAGGACTGGACTGAGAGGATGAAACATGCCTGGAAAAAGTCCAGCTTGTCCTCCACTGTCATGTTCCTTGAAAGGAATGACTTGCTGAAGACAGGCACAGGGGTTACTGCCACAAACTTACTACTCATGCAACTTGGCCTGGCCCCAGCACTGGAAGCCACTGCTCAGCTGGGCCTGACCACTACTCAACCTGGCCTGAGCCCAGCCACCACACATCACAGTCAGATTTTTCCCAAGTAGAGGCTGCCAGGGATATAAAAGGAGGATAAACTGAAAGGGCAGATAAAGGTAGGTTGGTTGGTGGGTGGAAAGGGTAGGCTGAGAGGTGGGTGGGTAGGCTGAGAGGCAGCAGCCACTACGTTATGGGGTCTGCCCCATGCTAGTAGCAGGCATTGCACAATTGGGCTGGCCTTGCCTTCCACTGGCAGGGACCACACAACTAGCATCAGCCTAGCACTGGTACCCACAATGCAACTTGGCCAGACTTTTCCAAGGAAGAGGCTACTGGGAGAGGGAAATGGGGGGGACTTGAGGTGGGGGCAAATAAAGATAGGTTGGTTTGGTTGGATAAGGATAAAAATAAGTAAGAAAAGGGAAGAGGCTATGGGGCTGCCAGGAAGAGAGAAAGAGGAATTAATGTGGAGAAGGGGATATGGGGGAACTGAGTTTCCAGCAGGTCACCACTTATCTGAATTATTGGTTATGGCATGCTTTCAAAAAAAAAACACCCAACTAATAAAAACCAAACACCTTGCCTTAACTAAAAAATAAAGAGGACAAAAATAAATTTTGCAATCCCAGATGAAAACCTCCAGAAATCCAAGACTAATTTTCATGCTCCTTTTGTCAGCATTTTTGCCAGACTTTCATGTTTTACAGTACTTATGTTATTCATTCTGACAAGATGTTCAGAAAGAGGATTTTTGTATTCTCATTTTATTATTAGGATCCAATGTTAAGAATCAGAGAATAATTTCCAGTAATGGTGTAGGCTACAAATCTTTCCAAATCAAATTGATATTAACAATTCACCATCAATTACATATTGTAATCTCTGATCAAGCAGTATAGATATGTTACTATTGTCTGTTAATATAGAGTCTTATATTTTAATTAAGAATAAGGCCCGTTGTGGAAATAAATACAATGAGCTCTAGAAAGAAGCTCTGGGCCTTGGGCACTCAGCATCAATTTGCTGTGGCAACCTCAGCAGGGTATAATGAAACAGACTCCATCGTTTTCTCCAGGAGAACTGATCTCTGTCATCTGAAGAGCACTTGTAATTCCGAGTGATTTCTTGCTCTCACCTGGAGATTGGCAACAATGGTTGCCCAGGATGAAATGGCTGGTTTGGAGGGTGGAGTCTACAGCATTGTACCTGAGTCCCACCCTTCTTCAAACCCCACCATCTCCAGGCTCCACCCCTTAAATCTCCAAGAATTTTCCAATTTGAAGTTGGCAAACCTATCTCCTTCCCAGCCAGCCATCAACCCACCTACCTTTATCTGCCCCTCTGACTTCAGCTTTCTATCTCCTCCCCCCTCAGCAGGTTATAATGACACAGAGTTCACCATGTTTTCCAGGGGAACTGATCTCTGCCATTTGGAGAGCAGTTGTAATTCTGAGTAATCTCCAGCCCCCACCTGGAGATTGGTAACAATGGTTGGCAACACTGTTCCTCAGGAGGAACACTACAGTACAGTCTTTCTTTGCAGTGGGGAACAAAGCAGCTTACATCATTCTCCTCTCCCCCTTTTGATCTGCACAACAACCCTGTGAGGTAGGTTAGGCTGAAAGTCTGTGACTGGTCCGAAATCATCCACTCTGCTTCCACAGCAAGAACTCAACCTGGCGCTGGCAACCCTAGTCAGGACTGGCCCTAATGAGTTCCCTACAAAGGCCAAAGTAGGCTTGGAAAGGGCCTCCTGCCCCTGCCTTTTTACTAACAGAGCCAAGCTTGGTTGCCTAGCAATAGCCACTGAGGGGAAAATGAGCTCCACAGCAGGAGGAGGAGATAATGGTTTGATGGCCAGTGGCTCACCTCAATAGCCAGCCAGCCACGGAGGACCCAAGCAGGAGAAGCGTCTTTGTCAGGAGAGAGAGCCATTTTGGCAGTTTATTCACATAGGGAAGAGTGGCCAAGCTGGTAGTGGGCAGGGGAGAAAAGCAAACCCAGCCCCCAGCCAATGGCATGTGTGTACTCGAGTGGCAGTTGATTGGCCAATGGCTGATGGAGCACACAGCACAGCCAATGAGAGAGCTGGAAAGTGATAAAGTATATAACAAAAAAACAAAGCAAATATTTTTGTCTTCTCATGGAGTCTTGTTCTCCATAGCTGGCAACAGACACTCCATGTGCTAGTTGTATCATCCTGGGACTAATGAACTGAGTCCTTGGCTGAATTACATGTGTGTATGTGTGGGGGAAATGTGTGTGTGTGTACATAGGATTTTCACATTCGACTTCATGGAAAGCCTATCAATATGCCCCAACTACAGATGCTGATGAGGAAAACATTGAAAGCTTTTATGCAAGTGTCCATTAAGAAATTGATCACACATCTAAACAAGATGTGCTGATAATCAACAGTGACTAGAATGCAAAACTAAGAAAATGAAGCAGAATCAAATATTGTTGGAAGATTTGGGCTAGGAACATGAAATGAAGCAGAAGAGATACTCATAGAATCTTGTGAAGACAATAATTTGTTCATTGCAAGCACATAGTTCAGCCAACCAAACAGATGATTGTATATATGAAAATCACCAGACAGCCAATATAGAAATCAAATAGATTATATCATTGAAAGCAGAAGATGGCGAAGCTCTGTTCTGTTTGCTTAAACAAGACCAGGAGATGATTGTGGTACAGATCATGAATTGTTAATATCAAAAATTAGAATAAAGATGAAGAAAAACACCAAAACAGTCCTAATGCCAAAATACAATCTAAGCAACATTCCTGAAGAATTTAAAAAAATATGTAAACAACAGGTTTACATTACTAAGTTCAAGTGAATGTGAACGAGAAGAACTATGGGTTGAAACCAGAGATACTATAAAGGAAGAATGTGGAAAGACTATCCATGTAGTCAAAAGAAATGATGAAAAGCCTTGATGGATAACTTATGAAACTCTTAAAATTGCTAAAGATAGACAAGAAGCAAAGGTAACAGGTGACAGAAACAGAATTAAAAGCCTAAAGGCAGTATTCTAGCAACTCACACATAAAGACTAAGAAAACTATTATAATCACCAGTGTAAAGAAATGGAAAAGAACAACAAAAAGGAAGAACAATAGATCTGTTCCGCAAGATCCAATAAATCAAAGGGAAATTTAAGTCATGGTTATGCATGCTGAAAGATTAACATGGAAGTACATTAACTGAACAGGACAAAATAAAGAAATGATGGGAACAATACACTAAAGAACTGTACAAAAGACAAAAGGGTGACGGCTTCCTTCCAAGAAGCATCTTTGAAGAAGAACCTACAGTTTTTGAAAGTGAAGGGAAAGCTGCACTGATAGCAATTGGGAAAAAGAAATCACCAGGTGTAGATGGAATATCAATAGAACTATTCCAAGCCACAGAAACTGAGTTCATCAAAGATTTTAACAAGATTGTGCCAACAAATATGGAAAACAAAACAATGGCCCTAAGACTGGAAGTGCTCAAACTACAGTCCAGTTCTGAAAAAACGAGACATCAAA